TCTGTCTCAGGATCCAAGAGCCACAGCAATGAAGAGCCAGAAGTGAGCTGCGGTCATCAGCCTCTGTGTGTGGAAAGTGAAGAATAGCCTCTACCTGAGATTACGACAGGCACAATCGTTCCTCCCTTCATCAATTTAAGCCCCTGAAGCACGCTGCATTATGTTCAGTTACCTAAAGCAATGGTCTACATTATATTTCATACTCTTTTCTGCAGGAGACAACAGAAGATTGGTTCTGCATTTTTGTCAAATTTCTCGTAGGGTCAAGTGCAGTGTGGCTCACACCTGTTACCCCAATGTGTTGGGAGGCTGAGCAGGAGGATCACTTGAAGCCAGGAGTTTGAGACCAGCCTGGGCAACATAGAGACACCCTGTCTCTACAAAAAAAAAAAAAAAAATTTAAGATTAGTCAAGTATCATGGCATGTGCCTGAAATCCTAGCTACTTAGGAGCCTGAGACAGGAAGATCATTTGAGCCCAGGAATTCGAGTTTACAGTGAGCTATGATTGTACCACTGCACTCCAGCTTAAGCAACAGGGTGAGACCCTGTCTTTAAAAAAAAAAAAATCTGGTAGGACATCATCCATAATGTTCAGAGTTCCATATAAAAAGATTCCTATAATAAATCTCTCTCAAAGATTTGTTCTGTTGATGATCTAATGTGCTTTTTGTGTGCTAATTCCCTCTCAAAGACAGCCACAGCCATAAATGAGTTTTCTGGTACAGTGGCCCTCCCCTTCACCCATCCTATAACACAGCTTTGTAATATTTTCCTTAGCATGACAGTTCCAATAGTCCTCATTTATAGATACCTTTTGTTGACAAAAAAAAAAAACATTTGAAGAGATTTTATTCCAAGTCAAATGTGAGGACCATGACTCATGATGCAATTTCAGGAGGTCCTGAGAACACATGCCCAAGGTGTGTGGGTTACAACTTCATTTTACGTATTTTAAGGAGACCTAAGACATCAATCACTACATGTGACGTATACATTGATTCGGTCCTAAATGGTGGAACAACTCAGGGCTCACTCTGTTGCTGCACAGGTGGATTCAAAGATTTTGTGATTGGCAGTTGGTTGAAAGAGTTAGGTTATTAATCTAAAGACCTGGAATCAATAGAAAGGCATGTCTAGGTTAACATAAGGGGTTGTGGAGACCAAGGTTCTCATTATGTACAGAAAGCCTCAAAGGTGGCTGCCCTTGGAGGCAAGAGGTGGCAAATGTTTCCTATTCAGGCCATTAGAACCTGCCAGATGCCCAGGCTCAGCAGAAGACCTGGAAAGGGAGAGGGATTCTCTAAAGAATGTAAATTTGCCCCACAAGAGACAACTTTGCAGGGACATTTCAAAATACATCAAAGAAATTTACTTTGGGGTAAAATGCTTCGATTTCCTTCAGGGCCTGCTATCTGTCATGTGATGCTATGCTGCGGACAGGTGGAAATTTGGTATCTTATCGCCATAGAGTCTGTTTTGTCAGTATTAAGATCTCTGTTTTAATGTTTTGTTGTTGTTGTTTGTTTTGAGACGGAGTCTTGCTTTGTCACCAGGCTGGAGTGTAGTGGCCCAATATCGGTTCACTGAAACCTCCGCCTCCCGGGTTCAAGCGGGAACCTGCCTCAGCCTCCTGAGTAGCTGGGATTACAGGCGTGCATCTCCACACCCGGCCAATTTTTGTATTTTTAGTAGAGACAGGGTTTCTCCATGTTGGCCAGGCTGGTCTCAAACTCCTGACCTCAGGTGATCCACCTGCCTCAGCCTCCCAAAGTGCTGGGATTACAGGTGTGAACCACTGCGGCCAGCCATCTCTGTTTTAATGTTAATGCTGCTTAGCTGGGTTTGAATTCCAAAGACAGGAGAGTATAATGAGGCACGTGGCACACTCCCTTCTCATCCTGGCCTGAACTAGTTTTTCAGGTTTCTTTGGAATCCCTTTGGCCAAGAGGAGGGGTGTATTTAGTTGGCTGAGGGGGTTAGAATTTTATTTTTGGTTTACACTTTCATTGTAAGAATTGTAAAAAAACAAAAAACAAAAAAAAAAAAACAAAAAAAACATTTAAAAACTATTTATTTGTTTGCAAACAGATGGGTTTTGTGGTGGCTAAATACTATCTTCAAAATAAGTCCATATCCTTATCCCCAGAACCTTTGAATGTCATTTTATTTATTTGTTTATTTATTTATTTATCCTACTTATTTATTTAGTTTTGAGGTGGCGTCTCCCTCTGTCACCCAGGGTGGGGCAAGGCTGCGATCTCAGCTCTGGGTGCAACCTCTGCCTCCTGGGTTCAAGTATCTTCCCACCTCAGCCTCCCAGGTAGCTGGGACAACAGGTGCATGCCACCACACCTGGCTAAAATTTTGTGGGGTTTTTTGTTTTGTTTTGTTGTAGAGACGGAGTTTCACCATGTTGCCCGGGCTGGTCTGAAACTCCTGGGCTAAAGTAATCTGCCCAACTCGACCTCCCAAAGTGCGGAGATGACAAGCTTGAGCCACTGCACCCGGTCTGAGCATCACCCTGAGCACCATTTTATATCGTAAAAGAGACTTTGCAGATGGATGAAGGACCTTGAGATGGGAAAATTATCCCAGATGATCTGAGTGGGCCAAGTGTAATCACAGGAGTTCTCATGAGAGAGAGGAAGGAGGAGTTAGAGTCTTGTGAGTGGAGTGATGTACTTTGAAGATGGAGGAGGGAGGTACAAGCCGAGCAGTACAAGTGGCCACTAGAAGCTGAAAAACACAATGAAATGGATTTTCCCCTCAGAGTCTCCAGAGAAAACAGCCCTGCTCACGTCAGCTCAGTGCAATTCTTTTCAGACTCGAGCCTCCAGAACAAGGAATGACATTGTTTTCTAAGCCACTACTTTTGTGGTAATTTGTTATGGCAGCAATTGAAAACTGATACAGGTTATTAAAAAAATGAACAAAGAATTGTTACCAAGTCTAAATTTCTACAAGTAATAAACTGGGCAGCTTGATTATTTCACCTCCAGAGAGACTGGATTCAAATCTCAACTCCACTATTTACTAGTTGGACAAGTTAGTAACCTCTTTGTGCCTCAGTTTCCTCATCTATAAAATGGGAATAAAATAGTACAGTACTTCCATTATGGGGCTTTTGTGAGGATCAACTGAGTTAATACATGTAAAGCAGTTAGACCAGAGGCAGGTATGTAGTAATCCCTCAACAAATGTTAGGAAATGTTTGTCATTACTGAAATTCAACTTTCTTCTCGTGAGAAACAGAAGAAATTAATTCTTACTCATTGATAGGCAGAGTACTGCAAAGACCCATAGATCACCTCCCAGATCGACTCGGGACATGCAAAGCTGAACACAATGTGCAAATACTTGAAAGCTCCGTGTCTAAAACGCATGTTCCTTGCTTTCTAATATTTCCATTGAAGAATAGCCTCACTCCCCCAAATGAGGTAAGACGGTTGGAATTTAGATGTTACCCTGAATCTGCCATTTCTGTTCTGGAAAAATCAGCAGAAGGAGTCAAAGCACTTCCCAGCAGGGGTGGCCATGCAGCCTTGATAACAGAGGCTAAAATAAGTGTTCCCCTTTGATCCGGCTCAGAGCCCAAGGGAACTGGGTTTGTTCTGAACTGCTGACCAGTTTAAGCAAGCAGAAATCTTCACGTTCAGGCCCAGGGAAGGAATAACTCACAAGTTTCAGGGTGTTACTTGAGACTGCGCCTCTTAGATGGCAACTGTCAAGAAAAGCCTTTGGGCTAGTCTCTACCCTGTGGTCTGTACCCCTCCCATTGCCGTTCAGATGGATTCTACCCTGTGGTCTGTGCCCCTCCCATTGCAGTTCAGATGGATTCTGCCTTGTGGTCTGTACCCCTCTCATTGCCGTTCAGATGGATTCTACCCTGTGGTCTGTACCCCTCCCATTGCCGTTCAGATGGATTCTACCGTGTGGTCTGTGCCCCTCCTATTGCAGTTCAGATGGATTAGTCGGGACAGGCTAACAGGTGTACCCTAACCCCTCATATTTCAGAGAGTTAACATAGAAGTGTTTCTTTATTGCCCACACAATGGTCCACATTGGGCATTCATGGTTGGGACACTACTTTAGGTGGATCTCCTCCAAGTAGCAACTTAAGGACCAGTCTTCTCTATACTGAGTCTTAGCCCTCCTCAGACACAAAGCGCATCCCATCCGGTCAACAGATGCAGAAATGGCATAAAGGGTCATGTCTGGAAGGGTTCCATGGGCCAGGATACTGGAGAAGGGTGGTCACTTTGGCCCACATATAGCTCAAAAATTGCTGCGAGATGTGGTCTAGTCGTGTGCCAGGAATTTGGAGAATCAAGGGGTCTATTTGAGCCTACCACAGGGTTACTTAGTTGTGGGATCAGCACCACAAGAACATCATGCAAGTTTGAATCCTGTAAAAGCTTTTCCTCGCCTGGACACCCTGCCTTTTCACAGGCATTTATGAAGTGTTGCTGTGGCTGCCATGGTTCCAAACCCTGCCACGTGAGGACACAGCCCTCTTGGCTCTCCATGCATGCACCTCCATCTTTTAAACTTAGCATTTAAAACTACCTCACAGACCACCTCTGCCTGCATCCTTTATCCTGATACCCATCCATCCTTGAAAACAGAGGTATCCAGAGTATATGGCAAGAATTTCAAAAACAGGATCCTGAGGTCGGGGAGAGTCCATTACAGCTGTGACTTTACAATCTGTGGGAAAGGACCCTCCTGGGATGTGAATTGTTCACTCAAAATAATTTTCCCTGGCAATGGGCAGTTAAGGATCAAGAGTGGGAATTGAGAATATCAGGAAACAGGTGCATTCCAGGATGTGTGACTGAGGATATAGTTCGATTCACACCAAGATGGCAGCACAGGGATTCTTATAGATGCCATTTAGACTTCTTCTGAAATGTGCTATTTGGGTTGAAGAAAGAAGCCATTAGAAGAGTGAATAGGATTTTTTTAACCTCAAGAACAAACAAGTAATCACACACATACTTCTGGACGTATCAACCTTTTAATTCTCTGATGTTGTGGGTAGGCAGTGTTGGGGGAGGGAGACATTCAAGGTCTCCAACTTCTCCAGGTTTATAGAAGTGCTTGGAAATGTTTGTAGATGGCCTTGGAAGTGCCTCAGAGATCAAATCAAGACTTTCAGCAGAAAGAGAGCAGTCAGAATTGATGAGATGATGGACATCAGCTGAGGGCTTCCATTACTGCTGCCTACACAGTAGGTACTGATTTTTATGTAATTTATCGTCTCCACATCCTTCAAGTTGCAAGCAGTTTCAGTTGCACAACCCATACCAAATAATAATACGACGTCATTAACTGCAAAGAGAAGGATCCAAAGGTTTGTCGTGTCTCCCCTCCTCACCCACATCCTCAGGTCAACCTATCTGCATCCTCTGTGGAAGAGAAGGGTGTGCAGAGTGCCCCAGAATCCCTGCCTTCTGCCTTCTGCCTTCTGCATGAGAGGCATCAACGGTAGCTCCAGCTCCATCCAGGGACCAAGCCTTACTGCCTTCTGGTCCCAACATCTCTCCAGTTGAGGAGAGACCCCAGAGGGACCTTGCTATCTCAGATGCATGACTGAGACTGGGGCCTTTGGGTCCTGACTAAGGAAGGGATCGTTGATGTAGGAAAAAAAGCTAGAAAGAAGTCAGATCTCATGTATTTTGCTAAAATACTTCAGTGGTACCTGTCCTCCTCCTTACCTTTGCTTCCTTTGGGGAAACCACAGTGAAATATTGCAGATCTCTCTCAAGATTGTGGCTCTTCTCCCCAGGGCTCTGAGTTTCTTGGGAGATTAGTACTGTGAAATCTCATTGCATGTCTGTGCTATCCACATGGTAAGAGGGAGTAGAGAGACTGCCCACTATCAACAGCTCCAACCCTTTTCTGTATCCTACCAGACATCATATTTTTCTCAGTCATCTCAACATATCCAGACAAAGGGCCCTTCACCTGCTAGTACCAGACCCTCCTTCAAGATCTTCCTCCCTTCCCCTCCAAAGAAAGCATAACTCGTCTCTTTTCCCACTAAATTCTCTCTCCTGTCATTTAATCAGCTCGTAAAACACCACCAATTCCAGAAAACCTCTTCCAAATGGATCAGAAGAGAACTGACAGTACCTCCATCCAGCTGTACAGTCTAGAAAGAGATTATGGTCGAACGGCATATGTGCCCTTCACCACAAATATACTTCTTCCCTACTCAGGAAAATTACAAATCTTTCTATAGATTTCAGAACGACACCATGCAAAAAGTAAATGCTTAATCGTGGGGTTTGGTAATGGTAATAACGGTAGTGATGATAACAACCAGAACTGAGGTGCCATCACCCCCTTCATTGCCAATGAGCCAAGAGCTCATTTCAGGACATCATAGTGATACATGTCCCCCTCAAGCCTCAGTCCTAGCTATGGGAAGCAATTATGTTCTCTCCTCCCCTCTCTTCCTTTTTCTTTTTTCTCCTTGAGATGTCTCCCTCCAAACCTTAGAGGGATAACCAAGCATCTGGCCCTGTAGCACACCTTGCTGTGTGTACCAGTCAGCCTCTCAAATAATCCCCAGTGGTTCCCATCTTCTGGTATTTGTGCACTGGCATAGACCTCTCCCAGGCGGTCAGTCTTGATCTGTGTGTGACCAAGAGTGGAAGTGAGGATGTGTCACTTCTGAGATTCGATTATTAAAAACTATAGTCTCTCTCTCTCTCGCTCTCTCTCTCTCATTGCTTGTTCTGGGAGAAGCCAGCTGATATGTCCAGATGACTCTCAGGCACCTATGAGGATCCTAGGAGACGAACAGAGACCTGCCAACAACCATGTGAACCAACTTGAAAGCAAACCCTTCATCCAAACGACCACAGACCCTGCTGATACCTTAACGTCCACCTCATGAAAGACCGTGAGCCAGGACCATCCAGCTATGCCACATCCAGATTCCTGACACACAAAAACTGTAAAATAACCCTTTGTTGTTTTCAGCTGTAAATTTGGGAGTAACTAGTTATCCAGCAATAACTGGCTAATACACTACACCCGTTAGGAAAGTGAACACCAAAATGCTTGGGTAAATATCAATACCTGTGCCTGTAAAGTTAAGACACTTTGTCTCTTCCCCTTTACAGGCGAGGTCAGTTGGTTGGCAGGTAGCACCTTCCCCATTGTAGCAGGCAGGACAGGTAATGCCATTGGGATCTGAGGACTTCCGAGCCACTGATTGAAGAGAGAAAAAAATGTATCTTAAGAAATAGGCAGATAAAAGAGTTCATTATTTATCCCCAAGATCATGGTTATTCTAGGATTTCTACACACACACAAGTACAACTAGGATGGCATGGGGAGGAGGGAGGAGGATTGTAGGTATTAGATGTTTCCATGTAAAGTAATGAAAAACATTTATTAGGAATTCAGTGTTATTTTCCCTTTTCATGAATCACCCCCTCTCTGCCCTGACCGGAGAAAAATATTTAAATAATGGTAGAGAAGATAATCTGTGGTCTAAAAAGATACGACTGAAGGAGTGAGGAATTAAACAGATGAGGAAGGACAAGTCTTTCAGCTGGAATTGAAGAGAAAAGTATTTAAATCGAAAGACTCACATTTAGAGAAAATCCCCAAACCAATCCGTGCCACCCACCATCACTCAGTCTCCCCCACCGCCACTCACTCTCCCCCACCGCCACTCACTCTCCCCCACCGTCACTCACTCTCCCCAACTCCCACTCAGTCTCCCATGCAGAGAGAGACTGGTGTCTATCCATGATGCTCCACAGGAAGAAGGACAAGCAATTGGCAAGCAACGTCAGTGGGTATCTCAGAAGCAGAAAGATGGGTTGTGGACTGGTTCTTAGAAGGCAAAGGCTAAAATCGATGGACTGGGAGCAGGAGGAGGAAGGGAGGGAGAGCACAGAGCTGAGCTGGTCCTCACCTTGGAAGTCTGCTTTGTTACACTTTTCAGCTTGGCAGCATTGATACCCATACCCATATGTGTGGTTAACCCCCAGTGTCGCCGAGAAGGCCCGTGGCTCACACTTGCTTGAAGAACAGCCTTTCTGCAGGATAGTATAGGGCTGCAGCCCTGCACAGAACCAAACCCCAAGAATTTTCTCTCTGCGCCAGAGGCAGTGATGCCCAGTGGGCACACAATATGTTAGAATTTGCTAAAAAGGGAGTGTCAGGCCTCAACAGTCCCCACGAGATTGTATAGGAGCCAGGATCACCTATACCTTTCCCTGAACACCCAGTGTTCACACAGTGCCCCATCCCTGCCACCACACTCTCCTAGCCCCATCCTGGCAGGACATTATTTTAGGAAGAAAGGATAAAAGAGACGATGCATAAAGGAATGAGGAGATACATCAAGTTTCTGAACAAAGTAACCCCCTCACACTAAGCACCTCCTTTGTCTGCCCTGAGTGTCCAGCAGCTCGGGCAGGGTGGCTGGTGCCTACCTGTCGTATTAAATTCACTCTTTTTGCTGAAGCAGCCATGAGAGGAATCACAAGTTTTCTCCTCGTTACACTGTTGATCACATTGTACACATTTGTAACTCTCTTCTAAAAGGAAATAAATATTGTTCAAAAAATAATTCAAGAATGAAAACTGTCAAGTCAGAGTTGATGTTTTCAATAGCGAGAGATCCCTGGGAATCGAAGTCCCATGAAACCTGGTCCCTGTGGGGCTGGATGGGTCCTTGGAGGCCCACACGGTCCACAGTTGGTCCCTAAGGGACTTTATTGCTATCCTCACCCTTCAGGTATTTGGGAAAAAGGGGCATTTGTTCATTCTTACCCACAGTGCTGGCAACGAAAGCAGCGAGGACACAGACGGTGAGGAGACTCTTTAGGCTGGAGGACAGGGACATAATGGCTTCTCTGATACGCTGCAGAAGACCCAGGTGAGAATGAAGGAGTCAGGAACATGGGACCAGGCTCCTACTATAGCATGTGCTAGAAAGGTCTGGGCTGTTGCATCTCCAAGCAAGCACCCCATTAGCTAAGGACACACATTTCTCAGTTTTGAAGTCACCTTCCCACAAAGAGCCAGCCACCCTGACACGGGTGTTAGCACCCACACTGGCAATGCTCACCTTCAAGTATTTCAGATCTTCTTGTGAAGGGACTGCCTCTGAGATGGAGAGGAAAGCAACTGTCCTCACCTAGAGAGGAATGGAGACTTGGAAAAGGAGCAAAATCCTGAAGATGAGCTCTCCCTACCCCTTTCTTTCACTTACTTTTATGGCACTCTAATTCAAGTAGCCTAATGATTACGCACTACAGATCAATATCATCTTGACACAAAAACAAGTGCAGTAAATTGCACCGGTCTAGGCACTGGATACTGTGAGAACAGCTGTTCCTGACCCTCTGATCTCCTAATAGAAAACTCTCTGGGGAAGAAGATTGTTGTGAGTTTAGCAACTAAGTTTTGAAAAGAAAAAGAATTCAGAACAGCTTGTAATTCAGAACCACCCAGTCATATGTTCTTCAACAACCATTTTAATGTTGGGTCTCGCACAGGCATTTATCGAGCATCCAGCTCCAGAAACAGAGACACAAAAGGCAAGGCAGTTGTAGCAGAGATATCGTTGACTGAACTAGACATTGCTGTGGAAGACTGCAAATAATAAATCTCTCCTAGAATTAAGTGTCAGAGTGGGGGAACTGCCTCTCTTTCAAAGAAACAGCATGCTTCCTTTTTTGAATAATATGAAGTATGAACTCTTAGATAAAAGAGTTTTTGGCCATCAGGAAGTTCAGAGTTGTATTTTATGCCAAACCATGATTTCTCTAATTGCTTCTTCCTGTTCTTCTTGTATGTTGCTGTGTTCATCTTTTTGAAGACGACTGGTCACCATTCAAGGGGCAGTGGAGATATTAGTAGGAAGCCCATCTGTGAAAGAACAAGACCTGGGAGAAAGTGGGAGAAAGTGGTCCTCATGGCAGGGGGTGACAGGGGTACTTCACAACACCTCTGGGCCTCTGCTTTGTGAGTTGTAAAGAAGAGTCCAAAGTCTCCCTGGGCTCTGTGGGGATTAAAGAGATGGTATGTCTCTGGCTTGTAGCTGATATTGTCCAGCTGTTCCTCAATGCTAATTCCCAGATCTCCTTCTCATGAGATCTATCCCTTCCTTTCTCCTCCCAGAATCAACTCTTATGGCATGCTTGTATTTCTCCAGATGAGGAACTGGGAATCTCCCTCTACCCCATTTTCCTTCTCCCTCTGTCTTTATTTTCTTGCTGATCTATTGTGAGGGCATAAACTCTATCCCAGTCTACTTGTTTGAAATGGGAGACAAGGGAGATAAGATAAACACCTTTATAAGCAAACTTTGAGAATTTCTTATTACAACATATGTCATTCTTCATTGGTATCTATGGACAAGTTGATATATCTAGCCATAAAAGGCAATAAACCCTCCTGCCACGCACTGAAATCCTGATTGCATAGTCTGAAAGTTCAGGATGGTGTGGTTATTCTCTACAGTGGGCAGGCAGGAGCCTCCTGGGGTCTCCTTCAGCTGAGTGTCGAAGAAGAAGGTGTCAGGCCTGCAGGAGAGGAGAGACAGGGCTGTCCAGGCGCCTTGGAGGCCAAGGCATGGAGGAGCAGGAGAGGAGAAACAGGGCTGTCCAGTGCCTTGGAGGCCGAGGCGTGGAGGAGCAGGAGAGCGAAGGAGAAGGTGTCAGGCCTGCAGGAGAGGAGAGACAGGGCTGTCCAGGCGCCTTGGAGGCCAAGGCATGGAGGAGCAGGAGAGGAGAAACAGGGCTGTCCAGTGCCTTGGAGGCCGAGGCGTGGAGGAGCAGGAGAGCGAAGGAGAAGGTGTCAGGCCTGCAGGAGAGGAGAGACAGGGCTGTCCAGGCGCCTTGGAGGCCAAGGCGTGGAGGAGCAGGAGAGGGACAGGCCCAGGACAGGTGTAGAGGTCAGCAGGGCCTCGCTGGAATCTCTGCCAAGGCACAGCACGATGCCGAGAAGTGAGGCAGCAAACGTAGCAGGTTCTTGTTTATTGAACAAAGTCGATAAAGAGTTGCAGAGGAGACTGAAACATGAGCTCAGAGAAGGCCAGAGGACCCACCAACCCCTCAGGCGTGGTTAGGGTAGAAGATGCCCTTCAAAACTGGTGGGAAGTCCCAGCTTCCATTCCAGACAGAACTCTGCTCAGGCCCCACAAAATGACAGAGCCAGGACGTGCTAGGCAGATTCTGGCATTCCTTCTAAACATTCTGTCATCAATTCTCCTTTCAAAGAAGATGTGTGGACTTCCCCAACCTAGGAAGGAATCCCAGACTCCCTGCCTTGTGGAATTTCATAAGCCATCTCCCCCACCACCAGCCTGTCCCACCCCACCTGCCTTGAAACTCATCTTGCAGGGGTTGGAGGAAAAGCCTGCAAAACTCCTGCAATAACATGATGTGACGACTCAGCAGGCGTCAGGGCCCCACCGCTTTCACCGCGTGTCCTTCTTGAAGGCAGGTTTCCAGGAAATGGCAAAGATTTATTTTATACTCTGAAATTCAGGTTTCATTTTCTATAACCTTAAACCAACCCAGACAGAGACAAATACATATGATACCCAACCAAGAACAACCTGCAACCTCATTCCAACTTCCTCCTCTTCAGCCTCCATCATAACCTCAAGCTAACAGATAAAAATGTTGTCTCTTGTTTTCTTTAAAAAGAGGGAAAAGATCGTTTTGCGGTGAGAATAGGCTTTGGAGTGAGTCCTGTCTCTGGCTCTGCCACAGAGCACTATGTGAACCCGGACACACTGTTCCACTCGTCTGAGCCTTGGTTTCAGGAATGTGCAGGGAAGATGGCAGTGCCTACTTCTCAGGATGGAAATGGAGACAGTATGTTTGTGACACGCCTGTTGCAGTGCAGGCACATAGCAGTGGACCTCCCTTGTCCATATTAGCAACATGTGCAAAAATGGGCAAGAGTTTGTGGTTGGTGGAACAAGGTCAGTGGGGCCAGTCAACCTGTTGCAATGCTCTGCATGTGCCAACGTGGAAGTGAACATCTGCTAGCAACAATGTAAGGCGTGTGCACATCTTGCATTTTTCCTCCACCACCTCACCTGAGGAGACGTCTCACAGGGTGACTGGATGTCCAGAAGCCCCCAGAGGCTTGGACCCCCAGATCGGAGACTCCCCACAGAGTCCTTAGTATAGTTGTACAGAAAGAAGGATAGCATCTTCATTTTTACTACCTTCTATCTGAAACGTAGGCTTTCCTTCCATGATAAATGGAGCCCACAAACCACAGCAAATCTACCCACCAGTAGTCATCATCGAGGTTTTCTTACGACATGGCGTCTGCAGATGTCTGAGCGTATTCTTTGCCTTCATCAGCTGCTCTAGGCTATTTCCTTATCATCCCACTGACAGGTCCTGCTATCTGGTACTATCTCACATGTTAGGGGAATTTATGACCGTATTTTAGTATAATGATAATCCCGTGTGATTAAATTTGTTTAATGAGAAGGGGTTCTTGGATCCACAGCCTGCCACATTCCCATGGCAGACATGGTTTCTACCCCACTTCTGAAAACAGCAAAATCAGCATCTCCCTCCCAGAACAGTGCTCTGTCCCCGCCCATGCAGAAAGCACGGCCCACACTATACATTTTATGATTCTTTCCTTGGCCCATTAAACCTCTCCCCTTTTTCCCAATAATACTTACCCAGGAACTCTGACCAGCTGAGGTGGCTAGAAATAAGGATAGCTTCTGGCAGAGGAGTTTCAGGCCAGGAAGCCACACTTACAGTGTAGTCTTGGTTAAAATTTTGCAAGTTAAGTCCAACTACCCGCTGCAATGCAGCGATGCTGGATGCCTACCTGGGCTGGCTGTCAGCGTGGGCTGGAGCCTGAAGGGCAGGCTGGGGTCGGTGAGGAGGGATAGTCAGGCAGAAGGAACTATTTTGCCACTGCTGGTAGAAATCCAGGGTCTGCATCTCTTATGTCACATGGAGAATAGAATGTAACAGTTATTAAATTTGGGACCGCCCACCTCTGTGCCAACTTCCTACTTCCCCAAGCAGGTCCTCAGCAAACTGTCTGTGGCCCAGGGAGCACAGACCTGGGCTTACCTGTTGTTACTGTGGCAAAGCTGCCGGCAGCCCGCCTGGGAACACCATTCCTGCAGAAACACAGAAGAGAGTCCAAGTCACTTATCGGGCACACGGGGATTCACTGTCTATCACCTCCCACACCTTCCGGCTTCAGAACCATCCCACAGATCTCCTTGCGAGCATCCCGCTCTCTCAGGGCAGCTGAGAGCATTCTTGGAACCAGAAACAACATTCTGCTCCATGTTCCAGACGAAAGCACTCCCCAGGGGAGCACCATGGCCACCCTCCCGTCAGCCCAGCTGCTGGGCTCAGTTCTGAGAGTGGCACACTCCCTGTTCTCCCAGTCAGACAAAGGTTGTCTTCTGGACCAAATTCTACTTCAGGCTGTCTCTCAGCTCTCTTCTCAACTAGGCCCTGATTTTTGGGCTTCCATGTGGTTCTACCTTGTCCAATTTTAGCAAGAATCCTGCGATTCTGGGTGGGTGAAGGGTACTGAGAGTAGGATGCAGGAGCTGGGAGTGTAGAGACAGAAGAGCCAGGCCCAGGTGGAGTGCCCTGGGGGCCTGCAGAATGCCTGGCCCTGCCTCCACTGTCCTCACCAGCCTGCCATTCTAGCCTTTATTATGTTATAACCCCTGGCATAGCATAGGAGGCCTCATCTGAAGGTCTGAACAACTGCCAGTTATCCTCATCAATTGAAACCCAAGTATCCAAGTATCAGCAGGTCACAGGCAGGCCAAGGCAGGAAGCAGTTTCACTCTGGAGAGGTTTTATTTTTACTTACCAACTGCAAGTCTTCTGTAAGAACTATTTGTCTAGCCCTTTGACCATTCATGTATTAATATCTTAACATTTTTTCCTTAACATTTTATGACAGTCATACATACATATAAAACTTGTGTATATGAACTTACATATGTATATAAAACATGTATGTAAATATATACTATAACTTCTATATAAAGATATCCATTTTATCACATTTATTGTTATTTGGTTCAAGGTCTATCATTTAACATTCAATTTGGGGGATCTTTGTTCTGGTTAAAATGCCATTAATTTTGATATAAGCAAATCTTGTAGCTTTTCCTACCTGTGAGCTCCATGGGATAAGATTTCCATCTGCTTTGTTCACTCTTGCATCTTTAACACGTGATGCTGATACTTACTAGGTGTTTGGTAATTTTTGTTGGTGAATGATTCTTGATCTAATAATGGCAACGTTCTATTATTTGAGGCTTTCTGTGTAACTCTTCAAACATGGAAAACAACATGGAGTACTTTGTGGTGATAGATTTCGACTTTATGGGCCACATTTATTGATTTTAGATTTTTAATAGAAATCTGCTGTCAAAAAATTAACTGGGCATGGTGGCGGATGCCTCTGTAATCCCAGCTACTCAGGAGGCTGAGAATCGCCTGAACCCGGGAGGTGGAGGTTGCAGTGAGCCAAGGTCATGTCACAGAACTCCAGCCTAGACAAGAAGAGTGAAACTGTCGAAAGAAGAAAAGAAGGAAAGGGAAAGGGAAAGCAAAGGGAAGGAAAGGAAAGGAAGGAAAAAGGAAAGGAAAGGAGAATCATCTGTCAAACCCCAAAGACTAATGAGCCAATGTGCCATAGTCAACATAAAGTTTTTATTTCAGCTAAAACCACTGAGAAGATGAACAGGTCATGTGGAATCTGCCACACTCCTCATCTCCTCAAATTCTGGAGCATCTTCTGTCCCTAGAAATGTGTGCAGGCAAGAGATAACAGGCTCGTTTTCTGTTCATGATCACTCTCCCAAATGTAAAGCAATAGGCAACTATTCTGCAGCTTCTCCTCAGTCAGCACAAAAAAGCACTTCCAAAATTCCATTTTCTGACCTGGAGCTTCACCAACTGGGTGTCCCCAATCTCTGAATTTTCACCTCCTCTAGACATTCCTGATTATTGTGTAGAAATAGAACATATTTGGCAGCTCGTGTACCCAACTTTTACACATGTGGTTAGACTAACAGAAGCATGTAAACTAAGCATTATTCGTTGTTATGACTGAATGTTGCCCCTAACAGTGTATACATTGAAGACCTAAACCCCAGTACCTTCGGATGTGACTGTACTTGTGTTACTGGAAGGAGGATCTTGAGTGAGTTGTCCAGGTCCTTGGCGTTTTGAACAAAGAATTGGACAAAGCGCACAAAGCAACAAAGGAATGAAACACAGGAACAAAGTAGCAAAAGCAAGGATTAAAGCGAGAAAGCACTCCACAGGGTGGGATTGGGTCCCAGCAAGCCACTCAAGGACCCAGTTACCAAGTTTCCTGGGCTTCAAGTACTTCTTTTGAGGTTCCTGTGGGTTACCCCTTATCTGGATGAAGGATTTGATCTGTGGCTAACTGAAGGCTGAGGTGAACTGGTAACCTGAGCAGACGAAGGGATGGTCCCTGCTTGGCCCTCAGGCAGTTCAAGGCACTCTCCCTTTCGCTGTAAGCCTTGGTGGAGAGGGGAGGGCTGGTAGGGAGAGTAGCCTTTGATCCTTTGTTATCCGTGTGGGAAGATGGGGTTTTTCCTTTTGGTTTAGCTACAGGAAGTTTGAGTTAATTGGCCTTAGGTTCCCGGCCCCCAGACCCAGGTGTTTTCCTTTTGACCCAGCTTTAGGAAATTATCATGAATTGGCCTCAGATTCCTTGCCCCCAGACCTTGGAGTTTTTCCTTGATTTGGCATGCATTGGCGTTAAGTTCCCTGCCTCCAGACCCTATTTATTCTCCTACCCCAGATCCTGTTCTCCTGCCTCATTTGGAGATAGGGTCTTTACAGGATAATTAAGTTACAGTGAGGTTATTAGTGTGGGCCCTAATTCAATATGTTGACAAAAAGATTATGCATGTTGTTATGTTGTTATGTTATCATAAACATTTGTGTACAAGTTTTTGTGTTTACATGTTTTCAAATATCTGGGGTATATACCTACAAGTGGAACTTCTGAATAAGATGGTAGCTCTATGTTTAACTTTTTGTAAAATTGCCAGTGTTTTACAAAGTGGCCGCACTATTTTATATTTCCATTAGTGTGCAGGGGGTTCTGCATTTCTCCACATCCTCACCAGCATTTGTTACTGTCTTTTTTGTTGTAGCCATCCCAGTATTGGGCCCCAGGACAAGACGTACTCTGGTGATGGCTCCAGTCCCATTCCTGAACGTGCCGTGCTGCAGCAACCTGGGTCCTGGGCCATTGGGGGAACCCAGCATAAATTCTTTCTCTGGAATAATAAGGTTATATGGACTCTAGGCAGCACCCTATACTGCACTTAGGGACTGTGAGCAACCTCGGGCTGTGAGGTATAAAGTATCAACTCATTGTGGGTTTTTTTGGTTTCTTTTTTCTTTTGTTTTTGAGACAGGGTCTCGCTCTGTCACCCAAGCTGGAGGGCAGTGGTGCAATCACAGCTCACTGTAACTTCAATCTCTTGGGTTCAAGTGGTCCTCCTGCCTCAGCCTCCCAAACAGCTGGGCCTACAGGCACACGGCACCACTCCTGGCTAATCTCATCGTGGTTTTGATTTGCATTTCCATGGTGGCTAATGATGTTGAGCATGTTTTTATGGGCTTGTTGGCCATTTGTATATTTTCTTTGGGAATGTAAGTCTTTTGTTACCTTTCCTTTTTACTTTTAATGGCTAAACACTATCTTTTCCCTTTTTGAGCTATTTAAGAAAAGCAGCACCTTAAAATAACATATCAACAATTAGATGAAACTATGGTCCAGATAACTCTCCTTTGCTGATTCTCTTCTTTGCACTCAGAAGTGCCAGTGTTCATGAAGACCTGCAGTCCCCACATGATGAGAGGCAAAAACAGGAGAATTATTAGTTTAGGTCACATTGAACACTGAGTTTTGTGGTGGATGGTTTTTGTCTTATTTAGGGAAGTTTAAAACAATACATATTTCATCCTACTGACAGAGTTAAGCTTGCTTCATCTGCCTAGTGTCCTGAAGAAATTTCACAAGAGGTTATGCGAAAATATAGTTTCCAAACCAGCAATGGCAGCAATATCCACAGCCGGTTATAGATATTTTATAAGCTTTTCTGTCTGAAAACCAGTTTCTGAAAATGAATTAGTTGCAAAATCATATGTATTTTAAAGAGTGATAATTATATAGGGCAGTAGAAGAAAAGCTGGAAAAAGAACACAAGCAAACTTGAATGTTGATGTAATTTCATGCTGCTCTTCTTGTATGTCTTTATATCTTATAAAGACATAAATAGGGAGATAAAAATAGGGAGAGAATCAAAAATGTACATAATTGAGTGAAAATTAAGCATAAGTACAATTATTTAACGTGTAGAGTTTGTTTTTGAGATTGCGAAAACGTTTCAGAGATGAATAGTAGAGGTGGTTACATCACACGGTGAATGTACTTAATGACACTAAATTATACACTTCAAAATGGTTTCAATGGTAAATTTTATGTTGTGTATATTTTGCCACAATAAAAAGATTTTTTAAGAGTCAGTACCTCAAAAGAAGAGATAGAGATCAAATGGCTAACTAGAGGTGCCTAGCACTCACCTTTTCCACAAAGAAGAACCAAAGTAACAAATAGATAACCACACATTGACTAGAATGTGTAAGGAAGAACACTGGAATTCAGCAGATAGTGTTCAAATTCAAAGAAAAGAAACTTTGAGGCACAAAAACTCAGGATGGCAGCATAGAGAGGTAAGCAATGCAGCCTACTGAGATGTGCTTGGAGCCAGGAGGGACTCCTTCCCCATTGTGGAGAAAAGGTTAGCAGGAGGTCCCCAGAAGTCTACATTCCCACCAGACACCTGCAGT